AGCAGCAGCAGCAGCAGTAGTAGTAGCAGCGAAGCAGTAGCAGTAGTAGCAGTAGTAGTAGTAGTAGTAGCAGCAGTAGTAGTAGTAGTAGTAGCAGCAGCAGCAGCAGCCGTAGCAGTAGCAGTAGCAGTACCAGTAGCAGTAGCAGTAGCAGTAGCAGCAGCAGCAGCAGCAGCAGCAGCAGTAGTTCCCAACTCGCATTCAGCTTGATTGTCCACCTTTGCTTTGTATTCGCAGGCCATTGCAGCTGGAAAAAAGCTGCAGGAAGAGCTCAAGAAGGCTCTACATTCAATGATCGAGCCAACTCCCGCTCACACGATTCCTTCAAGTCTTCTAACGGCGTGTCGAGGAGATCATCGAGGGTGTTGCAAACACGATCCGTCTGACCAATCCCAAAACGGCTCTTCGGCTGTTTTCGCCATCCGTCAATGTTGTCGACTTGCCGCATGCTGTGTGATTGAGGGCATCCGAATGTCTGAGATGGGCGGCCATGCCATCATCCAGGTGGCCTTTCGTGATGACCTGCTTGGCTGTTCTTGGCGTCAAACTCCGTAGCACTTTTGCAGGCACTGAAGAACAAACACCAGGAGACGTTCAAGAACATCCAGCTTTTACTCTTCATCAAGGTTATGCTCTTGTGGATTGCCGGTCTAAGAAGTTATCCTTGTGCGTACTGCTTTCAGGCACATGACAAAGTCTTCTGGGTGGATGATCCCGAGAGCGGCAACCCCTTGGTCAGATGTTTGGAGGTGGTGACACCGCCGGCCCATCAGCCTTGACATGCATACTTACTAGTGACAATGTCAGGACGTTGAAGCAGAGGTGGCCCCCGATGAGAGACCGCTTGAGGACAGAAATCACGCTGCGAACAGAAATCGTCGGAAGATCTCAAGCAGTGATGCCTGAGGAAATCATCGAAGAAAGACGAGCCGCACTGCCTCCTGGTGGAACCCCTGTGACACCGGAGACGTTCAAGGCTGCCGGCTCGATAATGGGGATGGCAAAGACCAGCCAGCCGTCCAAGGGCATAAGAGCAACAGATCCGCTGGACTCAGGCCTGGAAAGAGAAAAGAGAGGCACGTCTCTAGCTTTGTGACCTCTGCCAGAGAAGTTTCATACCGACGGCGGTCTCCGCAGAGGCAGAAAGGTTGGCACAAGTGGAAGCAGACCGTCAAGAAAGTGCAAAGAAAGGCACCAAGGCATCACGACTGCAGACCCTTTTGTGCAAGTCTACGACATGACTGCTTTGCAACTTCTTCACGAAGATGTTTTCACTGTCAGGGCCTTGTCGGCATGAGTGGCCGAGATCTGTTCACGTACGATGCATCTCTCTTCAAAGACGAAGAGGGTGCCGTGTCGGCAGACGAGTATGATGAGCGGGAAGAGGCCCAACTGACATGCACTTTCTGTGCGAGCTTATTGCCTCCTATTCAATACCCATTCCCGCAAAGGACCCTGAGTATGACGATGATGACGGCAAGACCCATGGTATAGTGTCCATCTGAGACATGAAGCCTTTGCAAACCAGCCGCAATGTCAGCATGTAGTGGCGGCACCGCAATGCGAGGCTCAAGATTTGCAGGATGAAGGTGAGGATAGCGAGGAGCCGGTGCGAGTTGTGGGGCAGATAGAACTTGTACCACGAGACCGGACAGAGATACGAAAGAGCAGAGAATGAGGCGTTTGCAAACAATGGCAGTTCACTACATGAAAGAAACAAGCGGCGACATCCTTTGTCGTCGCGAGGGGCCACGTGCGTCCGTTCATGTCCGTTCTTTGCCTGTGATTTTCCACTATGGCTGACTGAACAGCCTGCGCCAGTGCAATGCCTTATGTCAGGAAAATGCTTGAGTCACAATGGCGAATGTATGCGAATGTCATTTTGGCATCAGCTCTTTTGTCCTCTCTGCCAAATCACTTGTGGGGCGCCTTCACAGAGTATTTGCCGGGAACCGGCTAACCGTAGCAGAGCCGTCCGTAACAGTGTAACAGAAACAAGCCACGTGGTTCCTGGGCCAGCCCCTGGTCAAATCCCAGGCTCGTTTGAAAGAACCAGGTCATCCGGCAGTTCGGGTTTACGGATTTGGGGCTTAAGGGCTTTTAGGGCTTAGGGTTTAGGGATTTGGTGGTCGACGCAGGCGTTAGCACGTTAAAGTCCTTATAGGATGTAGACGGTATCCCTGGACGTCCTCCTTTGCATGCCCGTGGGGGCGGTTTTCGGTCCCCTACTTCGCGAGCAAAAGCCTCTTGCCCTGGTTTCCGGTGGTAATTTTTGTTACCCGGGTCGGTTGGTTGCTGTTACTCCGGGCGCGAGTTGCTGTCACATGTGTGTGAACTTGGTTTCCGTTACTCCTAAAACGGTTCCCGTTACTCCCCGCACCTGCGTGTTCAGAAGGCTCTTGATCTCTGTATATAAGCGGCCTTCAGTCTTTTTTAAACTCTCCAGGCCATCCTTGACGGCTCGGACCCATATCGGATTTCGGAAACCCACAGTAGGACCCGTGCGGACTTTGATATGCCAGAGTGCAGACGTCGTTTTGCTCATTGCAGTGGGTGATGTTCGCGGACTTCACCAAGTTTGGGTTGCTACAGTATGCGGCTATCACTGCTGGCAGTGCTCATATGGACAGCGCCGCAGTCCATGAATGAATGAAACAGCGGTGGTTGCGAGCAAGTCGATTTGGTGGTCGTTGCATGCAACGTGCTCTGCATGCAATTGGGGCTTCATGATGCCCATGCCAGCTGGACCATGCCACTTCTGCACGGTGTTGATGGCTGAGAAACGTGGGGCGCAACCTGAGAAATGCTTGCCATTACATGCCGGCCGCGTGTGCCCGTATCTAACCTGCAATTGGGGCTGTGTGGAAACGGTTGTCAGATGTATGAATCATTCATTCATCCGTTGGCAATTCACACCCCGTTATCTAATTCCGCCACTCTCCACCCGAATAAAATGCCACTTGCCCTTGGGCTATTGCAGCTTGAGTCTATACCTCTTTTCTGTGGCAGCCCAATGCACATCTCGCGCTGGATGAATTGCCAAACCCGGCGGCGCCTGAGTAGTGTCTAAAATCTAGGATCTAGAACCTTCGGCAAGACTTCACCACGCGGGGTGTAGAAATTTGATCGGAGCAAGCCTGACCATCGTTTCGAGTCTTGAGGAGTGGTACGCAAAGCTACAAGTAAGCGAATTATCGGACCAAGCACTTGCTTTACTGGATGGCCCAAGTATCTGCTTTTGCAATCGTGCTTCATGGGGAAAATCAATTCTGCGAACACAGCTCGCCGAAAATCCCTAGTCCTGCTTGGAATGGTCCTGCCACATAGGGAACCGTGTGCCGCCAGCACAGATAAGCCGGAACAGGGCGAAACAGCGTCCAATTTACGGAATTGCCAGTCATGCGACGACACTTCGAGCCACACATGCGTCGTCAGAATGCCCAGGCGACGTTCGGCTTTTTAGGCTCGGAGAAGTTCGTTTCATGCCTTCAGGACGAAGAAGCAGAGCCAGATTCTGGTGCCAGAGGTAGCGAAGATGTCAAGGAGATGGTGGTCTCTTGCACAGCGGCGTCTTGCGGCATGGTTTCAGATCGTGTAATCCCGAGATGTCACAAGGAGGCAGGCGCCATCAATGAGAAGCTTTTCTTGGAGGACAGCCTTCGTTTCACCGAAGCTACTGGTAGTGAGACCCGGATGCAGTTTGCATCGCAACACGGCAATCCACCAGCAATGCCTGCGCGTTACTACTTGCTCGGTCACAATTTGGGGACTTCAACTCTGCTCTAAGGTCCAGTTGCCCACAGGCAATATCCAGTTGGGATAGTTTGGGATGGGTGCCTCTGCAAAGAGACAACATACGACAATTAACATGTCTTCCGTCAGATGCCTCCGCGAATGCAATCCCGCGCTTTTGCAGGAAGAGGATCTGCCGGACGATTTGGACGATTTAGATGAGGCAGATGAAGAAGCTGTGGAGGAAGGCAAAGGATGAGTGCGTCCAGCCGGGTCGAACGTCGGAATGGGTCCACAAGCGACGATGCGGCAAAACGCTTTGCGCCTGGTGCCGTTTTGCGCCAGAACCAAAGGCTCTGATTGCGCATTTCACCGGTGCGGCCTTAGCGGCAGTAGCCGGTGGAGTTGGCGAACTCCAAATTGCCAAGCTCACCAGCAGCCGCATTCCGCTAGACTGGAAGACATGGGCTGGCAGGACAGTCAGGCTGCCCGTCGCGTTTTCATAGCCCTGTGGCAGCAAGAGGCCCGCTGGAGGCTCCAGTATGCCGACGTTGCAGTGACGGACAAGGAATAGAAGTGTACCGCGGGCATCTGTGGGCCTCTGAATGCCATGCAAAGACTTTAAGACTATCCGGCGTGCCGAAGAAAAGATATTTTTCCCAGCGGCATGTTCCTCGATGTTCGAAGACCGCCGTGAAGGATTAGGAAGGTTTAGGACCTGGGATGGCTGAGGGCTGCTGACGCTCCAAGCAGGCTCTAAGACTCTAAGAACGGGCCATCCGGCCAGCCTGTGCCCACCAGCCATGGTCGCTCCGACTCTTCGCCTCCAGGCGAAGCAGGCGAAGGCGAAGAGCTTGCAGGCCATTGCCCGTCGGAGCCAGAAAGGGAGTTTTGGAAAGTGTAAATGATTCGTTGCGAGTCTGTGTTGTACAGGCTGTACAGGAAGTTCGCGGCTTGCACTTTGTTCCGTTGGGAGAGGCACGGCTGGCCATGGCTTTCGACCTGCACCACCTGCAGAAGGTCTGGCGGCCTTCGGCGATTAGGTGTGCTTGAAAGCTCTCAGCGGAACAACCTGTCGCCTGCCCTTTCAATCCCTTTCCGTCATAGACAGTTTTAGCTTTCTACTCGCAGCTCCTGGGAGGTGCTTTCGCAAGCCCCTCACGATGCCTGGACTGCGTCATCTCTGACCTCTGTGGCTTTGCTGCACTAGTACCGGTCCTCATGGCATCCTGCAAGCTTCCAGCAAATTTGCCGCATGTACAATTGCCTTCGGACAAAACTTCAGTTTCAACTCCTCCATCCGCAGCGTGCAACTCTGAACTCGACTAAGACTAAGTTGTGGTGTAGGAATTGAATCTCGGTCAAGGGCCGGATTCGAGCATGGGCAGTTGAAGCAGAGATTAGTCGCTTTTTGAGTTTTCAGTGCCTGCGCAGAGATGTGGGCAACAACCCTCTTGCTTTGAAAACTCTGCGCCTTGTGGGGTTGCTAGCTACCCGCGGGGTAGGGTGCAGATTTATTCGGATAAATTCCTGGGGGCCCAAGGGGTCGGCGGAATAAGTTTTGACGGGCTCTAGCCCTGGCGCCACTCGGAAAAACCATGGTTTTGTTGTAATCCGTGGTTCGGGATGCGGGGACCAGGGTCTAGAATAAAATCCAGGGCCGTCGCAATGTGTGGCTTATCTTATTTGAGTTGATCAATCGGATTCCCCTTGTTCGCTCCAGTTACCCCGTTTGTTGATCCGTTTGTTTGCTGCACCACGAGTCTCAGAACAAAATCCAGGGCCCTACCCCCGAGAGAGAGACACACACACACACACCCACACACCCACACACCCACACACCCACACACCCACACACGCACACACCCACACACGCACACGCACACGCACACGCACACGCACACG